GACCTAAATCAAATCCCTTACAATTACAGTCTAGAAGTGAAGCTAAAGTCACTCAGTCGTGTCCAACTCTTTGCGACCCCATGGACTATACAGTCCATGGAATTCGAAGTGACAAATAGATACAAGGGTTTAGATTGATAGACAGAGTGCCTGAAGAACTATGGATGGAAGTTTGTGATATTGTACAAGAGGCAGTGATCAACACCATCCCCAAGAAAAAGAAATGCAATAGGTAAAATGGTTGTCTGATGAGGCCTTACAAATAGCAGAGAAAAGAAGAGAAGCTGGAGGCAAAGGAGAAAAGGAAAGATATAAGAATGCAGAGTTCCAAAGAATAGCAAGAGGAGATAAGAAAGCCTTCCTCAGGGATCAATGCAAGAAATAGTGGAAAACAATAGAATGGGAAATACTAGAGATCTCTTCAAGAAAATTAGAGATATCAAGAGAATATTTCATGCAAAGATGGGCACAATAAAGGACAGAAATGGTATGGACCTAACAGAAGCAGAAGATATTAAGAAGAGGTGGCAAGAATACACAGAACTATACAAAAAAGATCTTAATGACCAGATAATCATGATGGTGTGATCACTCACCTAGAGCCAGACATCCTGGAAAGCGAAGTCAAGTGGGCCTTAGAGAGCATCACTACGAACAAAGTGAGTGGAGGAGATGGAATTCCAGTTCAGCAATTTCAAATCCTAAAAGATGATGCTGTGAAAGTGCTCAATATGTCAGCAAATTTGGAAAACTCAGCAGTGACCACAGGACTGGAAAAGGTCAGTTTTCATTCCAATCCCAAAGAAAGGTAATGCCAAAGAATGTTCAAACTCTTGCACAATTGTACTCATCTCACACGCTAGCGAAGTAATGCTCAAAATTCTCCAAGCCAGGCTTCAACAATACATGAAACAAGAACTTCCAGATGTCAAGCTGGATTTAGAAAAGGCAGAGAAACCAGAGATCAAATTGCCAACATCTGCAAGATCACAGAAAAAGCAAGAGAGTTCCAGAAAAACATTTACTTCTGCTTTATTGATTATGCTAAAGCTTTTGACTGTGTGGATGACAATAAACTGTGGAAAATTCTTTAAGAGATAGAAACACCACTTGACCTGCCTCTTGAGAAATCTCTATGCAGGTCAGGAAGCAACAGTTAGAACTGGACATGGAACAACAGACTAGTTCCAAATTGGGAAAGGAGTATGTCAGTACTGTATATTGTCAACCTGCTTATTTAACTTACATGCAGAGTACATCATGAGAAATGCTGGGCTGGATGAAGCACAAGCTGGAATCAAGATTACTGGGAGAAATATCAATAACCTCAGATATGCAGATGATAGCACTCTTATGGCAGAAAGTGAAGAGGAACTAAAGAGCCTCTTGATGAAAGTGAAAGAGGAGATTGAAAAAGCTGGCGTAAAACTCAACATTCAGCAAACAAAGATCATGGCATATGGTCCCATCACTTCATGGCAAATAGATAGGGAAACAATGGAAACAAGGACAGACTTTATTTTCTTAGGCTCCAAAATCACTGCAGATGGCGACTGCAGCCAAGAAATTAAAAGACACTTGCCCCTTGGAAGTGAAGCTATAACAAATCTAGACAGCGTTATTAGAAAGCAGAGACATTACTTTGCCAACAAAGGACCGTCTAGTCAAAGCTACGGTTTTTGCAGTAGTTATGTATGGATGTGAGAGGTGGATCATGAAGAAAGCTGAGCACCGAAGAATTGATGCTTTTGAACTGTGGTGCTGGAGAAGACTCTTGAGAGTCCCTTGGACTGAAAGGAGATCAAACCAGTCAATCCTGAAGGAAATCAGTCCTAAATATTCATTGGAAGGACTGATGCTGAAGCTCCAAAACTTTGGCCACTGATGCAAAGAACTGACTCATTGGAAAAGACCCTGATGCTGGGAAAGATTGAAGGCAGGAGGAGAAGGGGATGACAGAGGATGAGATGGTTGGATGACATCACCAACTCAACAGACATGAGTCTAAGCAAGCTCTGGGAAGCCTAGCATGCTACAGTCCATGGGAATCACAAAGAGCTGAGCGACTAACAAATAAACTGAGCAACTAAACTAAACTGAACTGATAAAAATTAGTGAATTATTAAATAATTAATAATAAAGATTCCCCTCTGTAGTGCAATCCACACCAACTGGAGGTAGCATGTGGATCTTCCGGGTTATCTCTATGGGACTTGGCAACAAGGGCAATCAAGTGCATGCTTGTGTGCTAAGTCATTTCAATCCTATCTGACTCTGGAAGGCTATGGAATTTTAGCCCACCAGGCTCCTCTGTCCATGGGATTTCCCAGGCAAGAACACTGCAGTGGTTGCCATGCCTTCCTCTAGGGGATCTTCCAGACCCAGGGATGGAACCCAAAGCAGTCTCCTGAGGCTCCTGCATTGAAGGCAGATTTTATACCACTGAGCCACCAGGGGAGCCCCAGGGAAATCAAGAGAAATGTGCTAATGCTCACACTGCTTGCTGTGATGAGTGAGAAAGCCCTTTATCTCTGACAAAGGAGTCTTGGATTTTCTCCCAGTATCCATGAAACAGTAAGAGGCTCATTTATTAGATTTAAGTAGGGTAAAATCAAATCCAAGATCTGAAAGGATTCCCTGACTTGATTTCTACATTATAAAGAGCACATTTAATTTCCCCTCAATTGATGCAAAATCATTAGAAAACTTTTAAGCTGAAATCCCAATGACTCTTAGCTTTCATGTTATAGTTATCTAGACTTTTATTTCTGCCATGCTATTAGCCTTTCCCAAATCGATACTATGCATAAATATTTAACAGTCATTGTTTAACTAGATTTCAAACTTGTGAAGATTAGATGAGTGCTAGAAGAGGGTGAGAGCAGTGCTTGGTGCACAGTAAGCACTCAAATTATGTTTACAGTATTATTTTTTTAATGATACTGTTTTTTGCTTGCCTCTTCTCATATACCACATTCTTGCAGAGTTTAATTATTCTGATTAACTAAGATAAACTATTTTTCCATATGTGATTTTTTCATTCTACCTATGTTCAAGAATATTTATCTAAGGATTTTATTAGACTGTCTTTATAATTTCATACATATTTTGTATATTGCTCAGTTGTGTCCAACTCTGTGGCTGCATGGACTATAGCTCGCCAGGCTCCTCTGTTCATGGGATTTCCCAAGCCATTCCCTCCTCCAGGGGATCTTCCCAACCCAGGGATCAAACCCATGTCTCTTACATCTCCTGCACTGGCAGGGAGATTCTTTACCACTAGCGCCACCTGTATAACTAAATTAATATAGTTTTCTGTTTTAGCCACAAGTGGTCAGTGGTGCTTTCAAGGGAATTTTTTGAAAAGAAATCCCTTTTAAAAAGTCTATATGTCATGTCATGTCATGTCAATGTGTGACAAAAACCACTACAATATTGTAAAGTAATTAGCCTCCAACTAATAAAAATAAATGAAAAAAAATCCACATATTAATGGAAAAAAAAATAAACGAGCATAGAGCAAATAAGGAAAAAAAAAGTCTACAGTTTATTTTTTTCCCTCATAAATCTAACACCATTACTAATTAGGCAATCAGTTCCTCTGTAATTTCTTCAATTCCAGCCATAAGATTTAATCTAGTATTGTCTTGTAATATATATCACATTTATAATGTGAAGCAAGAAAGGCAGAGTTATATAAAAACAAATAATATGATAATATATATTTATACTGGTTAATTTTTTAATAGTTTTTCATCTCCATACATAATTGTAGGGTTTGATCTTATTTTATTTGTTTTATAATATGTGTATATTACTTTGGAGCCCTCATTGAATAAGCCATGTACTCCACTAAAAGGTATTTCTCCACAGGCCTAGAAGCAAATCTCACTAAGGATGGTTACTTTAGGCCTGATGACCACACCACAGAGTCACAGGACAACACACAGAGCAACGAGCTAGAATTAGCACACTTATGTCTTGTCTTTGTTCTTCCCTTGAAAGATGAACCACACTAGGGACAGAGGGTTGTCCAATGATATGTTAAAATTTTATGTCCTGGGATTTAGTTTTATTACCTTCTCAAACACTAAATTTCTTATCTATGAAATGATGAAATTACTTGCTTCATACACCTTACATATTTGATTTGAGTATCAAATGAAATGTTTATGAAAGAATTTTTAAACTTCAAGTCACCCTGGAAGTATTTATACTGTTCAAGTGTTAACACTTTAACTGCATTTATAGTGTTAATATAAACATTTTCACTCCTAATCTTACCATAAACATACTGTTTTCTGGATATAAGCCTTAAAAGAAAGTTATTCTTTGACTCTGTGAACAGAACTCAGTTCCCCATTTCAGTATGATCAGGAAACAAAGAAGGTTAAGATGGAATAATGAGATCACTAACTCAGAAAGGATTTGTTTTTCAGTTTTACAAAAACCTATGACATTGTACTCTAACTGACTTTTAAAAGAGGTTTGACTCCATGCCACAAGTTACATGTGAGTAACAGGCTAAGCTACACTCTGACTAACAAGAGTCAGCTCTGACTTTTGGTTTGATATGGAACCTGAGAAGCTAATGTAGTAAGCCAAAATCTGGCAAAGCTTCCAAGTAATATCTCAAGCAAAACACAGAAGCAGCTATTAATACTTAAGAATTCACTAGGTTCCAATTTCCTACTTCTTCAAAAACAAGCCTGAATATCATAAAATCCAAGTGAAAACTGCTGACAGCACAATTTAATACAACATTCCACTAACAGGTTTTTCAAATTAATTTGATAGTATCAAGAAAAACAAGATACTTCCCTTTACTAAGTGAAGACATGGTACGTAACCATATAAACTTTATAATAAAAGTTTATGGTTGTTTAGATAGATGGACTTCTTATGACAACAAAACTTTAAAAACAGTTTTATTCTGTTGTGTTGCCAATTTCTTTTTTCTTTTTTCTAACATCATTTCTATTAATGCACCAAGTACTTACATCTGGAATAAATCCAATCTCATTGAGATGATTGCTTAGCTCTGGATCATGAAATGCAATCATCTGAGAGAACACAGTCAGATACTCTGAAATGACAATAAAGTTTAAAACAATCATTGCTTTTACATAGTACATCAAATAAAGACATTAAATGCACATAAATTACAGTTTTATTTACACTTTGAATTAGATTTAGTTTTCCACGAAGAAAACACACTTTATTAAATAATTTTCTGTTTTGTTACTATTTCAATCACTTATGGCTAATTATTAAACAAGAAAAGCTTTTTGTTAAAAGCTATGTCACAACTTATTTTCTACCTTTAGAGCTGTCAGTTCATTTCCTGAATCACAAATTATTCAAATGATGAATGACTTTTTCTGTATTAAATTCAACAAATTATTTTCTCTAGTGATATTAAACCTGTCTCACATTTATGATTTTTTCAGAAACTGTAAATAGATACTGAAATAAGGAATAACACTGTCACATACAGAATAATTACACCTCAAATTTATTTACATATACAGATATAGAAATTTGTTCCAGTAAAGTGAAGAGCCAGGACACATCCCAAGGAAGAACTTCTGGATTTAACTTTTAACTTCATTTCTCTCTTTCCAGCTAGGGATGGTATGTTTACAGTCCCAATTTACCTAGAAGCCAGAGGTATGCTACATCAACAATCATACGCATTCAACTTTATGTTGATGAAAGCATATGATTATTAACTCTTATTAATAAAATGGAGGAAGAATGACAACCCACTCCAGTATTCTTTCCTGGAGAATCCTATGGACAGAGCCTGGCAGGCCATGGACCATATGGTCTCAGAGAGTCGGACACGACAGAAGCGACTAAGTATGCATGCACGCTTCATTTTAAACCGTAAAGTCACACCTCAGGCAATTCTCCACAGCTATGGTCCAGTTTATTAAATGTCTTTCTTATCTGAGCCTGATAGAAGATAATTACTATGGTGGATTACATGGCTAATTAAGACTTTACTGAAGAAACCTAATCCACCATGAAAACATTTTCGTTGTGTTCTGCCTAACACTGATGGCTGGATTTATATATGTATTATAACTGCACATGTGTTGCTGTTGTTCAGTTGCCAAGTTGTGTCCAACTCTTCATGACCCCATGAACTACAGCATGCCAGGCTTCCCTGTTCCTCACCATCTTCTGGAGTTTGCTCAAGTTCATGTCCAAAAAAATATATATATATATACACACACACATATATATGAGTATATATAATACACACAAAAATAGGTAGATATAATTATTTTGCATATTATTATATACCATATATTATTTCATATATGTAAATATACATTATAAGGCTGGCATGTTTTGGTTGCTCAGGATAGGCTTTACAATGAGATACAGTATGGCTTGTTACATTCAGAAGAATTTCTTTAAAGGAAAAGATATGGCAGAACTGATGATACCAGCACTGTCATATCAGGACAATGTCAAATTTCAAGTTATTTCAAAAATGCATTTAACAGTTCCTTAGGGAAAATGAAACAAATTGAAATGCATATGTCTTTTTATTTGTAAACCAATCTAAGAGAATTTAAGAGAAGCTACTGAAAAACAAACTGGTAATAAAATTAAAACAATAGATTCCATAGATTCACTACTGAATCTTTTAAAATGTTCATAAAATAATTTTGGTTTATAATAATGAAAATTTCCATCAAGAGATAAAATATCTCCCAAAATAGTATTTTCTGATAGGTGACCTATGTAGGTAAGCGTGTGTGTGTTCAGTCACTCAGTTGCGTCTGAATCTTTGTGACCCTACGAACTGCAGCCTGCAAGGCTCCTCCGTCCATGGAATTTTCCAGGCAAGAATACTGTAGTAGATTGCCATTTTCTACTCCATGGGATCTTCCTGACCTAAGGACTGAATCCATGTCTTCTGATATTCCTGCAATGGCAGGCAGATTCTTTAACACTGCACCATCTGGGGTGAAAGTCATTTAAAAAAAAAGAATCAAGATATTTATGAAATTTCCACTTAAATTTCAAGCGAGGTTTAATGGTGTTCTTTTCCACACAATCATGTCTCATCAATTTTCTGTTTTAACGAAGCTTTGTATTTCTAAAAATTTCTGCAATGAAATATAAAATGAATACTCTTTCTCCCGTCTAATAAGATCATATTAAAATTCTTATTCCTCTCCTACATCATAGCTTTTTTATTACATACTTTGAAAATTTTATTATTATTGGTCATACTACATTTTTATTAATTCCTAGTAGGCTTGTTCCATGGCACACTTTTTGTTAGCAATGCTAATTGTGACAGAGACAAACAGCTGGACTTCTATTTTCTTAAACTGGCATACCTGAATTTGAACCAAACTCAGATTAGATATTAAACAATTATTAGAAAAACACCATAATTTTGTGGACTTGGAGGAAAGATTAAACTTAATTATTTCTTCATGTGTTTTAGTGATAAACTGTCACCATATTTTGTTGAGTCAAAACCATAAATTTAACTGAGTACTGATCACGTTTGATATAATAACTTTCCCTATAAAAAGGCAAAGAAACATTTCCTTACCTTGTATTACATGTGAGTTGTCTTTCAAGAAGAAGTTGTACAGGTATTTGGGGATAAAAGCAGACATACAGGCATAAGCTAGAGCTAAGAAAGAGTAAGGCAAATATAAAAAATTAGTTAATGAGGTAAAAGATCAGCAGTCATTCACTCACTCAGCACACATTCCTTGAATCTATTTTTAAATAGGAATTACTTAATAACTGATGGAAGCACAAAATTATATGGGGAAAACCCTACAGAAAATATTGTGCACAACAAGAGATAACCACTCCAGCAACTTTTCAATTTCAAACTACTGTAGCAGCAGCAAAAAGAAAAAGCAATAACCAAACAACCAAAAAAAACAAAAAATACTGAAGAAATCGTTATCCTACAAGAATAAAATTCTTTATTATCAGAACTTTATGCATTTTAAAATCTCTAAACATAATAATCATTATTGTGCTATATAAACTTCAATATCCACAATTTTTACTGATGCATAGAAAAGAGTCTGAGAACATTGGATTTAAAAACACTAGTAATAATTGTTCTTTCAAACACAGATCCTTTGCCATTCTTAGATCAATATGTATCATAATGAACTATGCTTAACTAAACACAGCAAGGCCTCTTGTCTTGATTAAAAAGTAATATTAGAGAACTGGCATTTTTAAAAAGCATTCACTTAGTGAAGTTTTAGTTCTCTGGGATTATGCTACCAGTACTCAATTCCAGGAATCTATGCAAATTCTGATATGAAACAGAATTTGAAGAGATGGAGATTCTGAGATTAAGGTTTCTAAGGATTCATGCTATGGGATATTCATAATAAATATTTAAATATTTATCAAAAGACCTACTATAAAAAAGGAATTATATCAGGGGACAGAAAAAAACAAAACAAAAACCCTTGTCATTAAGAAAAAAGCCACTAACCAAAAGAAGGGTTACTGTATTAGTATATTGCTGTTGTCCAGTTGCCAAGTTGTGTCCAACTCCTTGTGACCCCATGGAATGAAGCATGCCAGGCTTCCCTGTGCTTCACTATATATTTAAATTAGTATATAAATAACTGTGATATGAAACATACAGAAGACAAATTTCTGGAAATACAAATCTCAAGAGGGTTCAGTCTTCATTAAGGAAGTAGTGGTTTAAAAAAAAAGGAAGTAGTAGGTGAAATAAAAGACTCTGGAGGATGCAAGATCAATACTGTTTTCCTTACAAATCATTTACAAAGTATATATAAATGAAGACTAATCTCTAAAAAAGTCTTCTTTGGAGGACAGAATTTTCTCCAAAGTTTCATAAAAAAGGTTACCAAAGTAGATGAATGCATTTATAATAATCCATCAGGTTCTCTCTAAATCTCTAGTTACAGCTAAAAACCTCCAGAAATAAGTTAATCCTTCACATCCTCTAAAATGAGTCACAACAGATTATTTCACAGAAATTTACAGGCTCTACTAGGAAGAGAGGAAGCTTTCATGTTTGAATAAAATATTTTAGAACAATAAACACAATAATTATTTAAATGATAAACAGACTTACCTTCATTATTGAAATTTAAATATAGAAACGGAGCACAAAGCGAGTCAAGACCTGATGGAGAGAGATTGGGGAAAAAATTAAAATAAACATAATCCAGCAGAATTGTAGATACATACCTTATTCAGATTTCTGCATTACTTCCATATAGATTCAGTATTATACATTTGATCCATTCAGAAATATGTTATGGGTTATTGTGAGGAGTAACCGATGGTGATTAGCATATAGTAAACATCCAATATAAAGCATCCATTATTATTATTAAGGTTATTATAAGTGGAGGAGAGAAATATAGTAACAGAAAAATGTACAATTGATAGAAAGGTTGAGTACAGTCCCTGTCTGTGTGATCTTGGTAATCACTTAACTCCAAACAGGTTTCCTTGTCAAGGAGATGAAAATTTTTCTTACATGTTTCTCTTCTTACATGTTTATTAGATGAAAAAAAATTCTTTAAAAAATTGTGAAGTAAAATATAAATACATGACATTTCTTTTATTGATAATAATGCTATTCACATATTGTCATGCTAAAAGAATGTATATAAATTTATCTATAACTGTTAGGGAGACATGGAACTCTAAAATGAATAGAGCTAGAAAAAAACAATAGCTTTATTTTCAAGTTTGGCCAGAAACAGAGACAGAATTGAAATATAAAGATTACTATTCATAATAACAAATTAAAAACTAACACTAGGTGGAATGGATTTCTCACTCATGAATTTATCAATGACAGCAAAAAGAGTAATGAGAAAAGGTAAAAATCAAGGAGATGGAGCATTATAGATATTTTTTAAAAAGAGAAAAAATGAGAACTTCAGGGTGATATATATTCCCCAATTCCTAATAACCTAATAATTGATAAGCAAAAGCTATAAATCATTAAATATCAAGAATATAAACTAGCCCCAAATTATTTACAGTACAAAATTATTTTATTATTTGAATCAAGGATTAAAAATGTATGCACAAAGACTATAACAGTACAAAATATTCTTTATACTTTGCTAATCAATATGATGACAGGTTGTTTCATTAAATGTCATGCATTTAAATGATATTCACTAGACATTTAGACAAAGTTTTTTAAAAAAGTGCTCATATAAACATCTCAAAAAATGGAGCATAGCTTACTACTGACTTTTCTTAAAGCCAAAGATAATTTGATAGCTTGTTTTGATTTTAAAAATTATCAGTTATGCAACATGTTCCTAACACTCCAAAAAGTCTTAGTAATTGGGGAAAAAAGTTACCTTGCCAATACACAAGATCAGGATGGGATACAACCCAGGCTTTTAAGACACGCCGAAATTTTGCATGACCTTCTGGTGAGGATAACAGCTCATCATACTGATGACAACGAGGAATATCCACTTCAATCTGTGAAACAGCAAAACAATATGGTAGAACTATAATAGACAGATCACCAATAAATCCCAAGACAAGGAAGAGGAGAAATTGTATTATGAATTCAAGAATTGGCTGCCTACAATAATCCTGATGTTTTGAAGTGTTTGAACTTTATACTAATCCTCCAGGAACGCTAAAAAGTTTTAAGTATACTTAAATAAGAAAAGCAGATCATTTCTTTTGAAAAAGTATATGTTAATTTAGTTTTCAAAAAATATTACTTTACAATCTGGTCTAAATAAAGCACAAATTCTTCAGACAAAAAAGGTACATACTAGGAAAAGTTACTTGGCCTAAACTCCTTAAAGGAATAGTTCTGACTCACTAATGAGTTAGACTATATCCGAGAGAGGTAAGACTTATGCTTCTCTAATATCATATGCATATAAAGGCTGCTGAGTATTCATGATGAAAGGAAGAAAATTTCTCATGCCTTTCTAAAATTGAAAGATTGGGCAAACTTATCTAGGTTGTTTAAGAAAATCTATATCATACCTGTCTATCTGTAGGAATTGGAGTGTCTTTATCAATTGCATCATACTTGGCATGAATAGCCCCCTGCAAATAAAAAAAGAGAACATAAATTACTTCATCATACCTTTAATAAATAATAAATTTAGGCAAAATCTACTTAAAAACATCTATCTTTGAAAGCACACTCAGTTATAGACAGACACACTCAAGCTCAAAGTATACCCTTAGAAAACTTTTCTACATTTTGACAGTTTGTGATAAAAGTCTGAAACAATTTACCATTTTGCTGAGGCAGATATTTGAATCATACATACTGTAAGACATACATGTTGAATGAGTCCCATGGCTAATGAATATGCTTAGCCAATCTCCCAGCCTCCACAATGACACAAAACACAGCCTTCCTGTTCTTTATCACTGTATCTCATGCGTAGTAAACTTCAAGGAGAAAATTTTTTTAAATTCAGGGGAAGGGAGTGGGGTTCATCCCACAAGAAATATTCCTGTTAAAAATTGGTAATGAAAGCAAAGATAAAATGAAACTGTTTACAGGAGTGGTAGTTCAGCACAAGGAAGCAGAAGTTTGGGATGAATCAGAGTGGAATATCATGTAGTTATAAAATCATTAAGAAACTAGAGGAATCATTTACATTTTTCAGTTATACCATTATAGAAAGAACAATTGAATAAACCACTTAAAATTTTGGTCATGTTCTATAAGACTAAGCACAGAACAATTCTTATTGGTCTGGTAAACCTTAACAGCAGAGAAAGAGCCAGAATTTGGGGTTCAAATTCTGACATTATATGCTGCATCAACTTCTCTGGCACATCTATTTAATGAAAGACTTGGACCTTGGAAGTCCTTAGTGACATTATATGCTTAAAGTTATTTTATATGCTTAAAGAATTACAATTCTAACTAATGATGTATGGTATAGAACATTAGACATTCTTATAAAAGAAGCAACCAAACGCAAAAGTGTTCAGAGATTCTCACCAAAAGAATAAAAAAGGAAGAAAGGAAAGCTTTCAACAGAGAGTGAAAAGGATTAAAAATATTTGGGAAAATTCACACACAAAAAATAGGTGATGGACATCCATAAGATATCTATAAGAGAACAGATGAAGGTAAGATGCCAAGGAAATTGACAGAAAAGGGAACAATCTGGTAGGGTTTGGCTCATTATTATGACTGCTGTTCTCTGTGAGCACTGCAAGTCACCCTAATAATTTTGTGCCACCTCTCCTTTCCTCACTGCCACAGATAGGGTATTGTACAAGATAAAGTTGCTACTTCTCTTAGCAGTGTGCTTCTGACAAGACAGATGTGTCAAAAGGCACTAAATTATGTTAATGATTTCTGACAAGGTTCCAATTAGAGTGGAAGACTTCTCCAAACTTAGACAGAACTACTTATAAATAGGCAAACCTGTTCCTAGAGGAACATACTTTATACGCAGGTCTACAGACTTACAAATGATGGGTATATATTCTTAAAATATTCTGGTGTTAAAATTAATAATCAAGACAATTTGAGTTCATTAAATATACTATTAGGGATATTTTTCTACTCCATCTAGTCTATTCCTTTATTCTTTTCACTTAAAATTGCCAAAGATTCTTAATGCTCATATTTTACTACATAATTTTCTAAAACCTTGAAAAGTATGTATTCAGAAGGCACTTTCATTCTTTTTTCCTAGTACTATTAATCAGCTTCTAACCTTCTCTTCTTTTTTACCTCAACTCCCAGAAGAGCAGCCCAGGTTAAACCTCTCATAAGAGGAGGGATGTCGACTCTTGCTTCTTTCCAAATTTGATTTTTTTTATATGGATAAGCCTACAGATAAAAAAAAAGATATGAAAAATACCTCAAATTACCAGTGCCATCTCTTTAGCCAGTTCTCAATACACCAGTGAAAAAGCTGAAGGTGAACTGTAATGTTTCTAATTACCTGAAATAACTTTGGTGTTATTAATACATAAAAGTTAGCAGTGAAATAGTTCTCTATCTTCTGTAAATCTCATATTACACAATCAATGAGAGGAGTTGAGTCTACTGTTTTTAGTCATACCTCTCTATCTTGTGCTCTGCAAGAATTAAGAAAGACTCATTCTGAGAATAATATCAGTTTCATATAGGTAAAGTAATATAAGTAAGGCTCTTTGTAAAATATCTGATGATACAGAAAGTATTAAATAAATATATTATTACAGTTTCTCCTATATCTTTGCATACAAACTTGTCTATTTGTAAATTTGTATGCCATGAGAAATTTCTAGAAGAGAAATATTAGGATAAAGGGTATGGATGTTGTTAATGCTCTTGATATATACCTTCAATTGTTGTACAAAATGTTTCTATCAACTTACACTTATTCCAAAAGAATGAGAGTTCCAATCTTAATATATCTTAATCACTCTGCTAATTTGGTATGCAAGAAAAGGCTATTTTACTTTTTAAAATTTCTATTAATAGTAAGGATACATTCTCTAATAGATTTACTGACTAGTTGTATTTCTACTGTGTTCTTTATCTATCTCCCTGTTTAGATAATAGTGCTTTTTTCTTTTGGTTTCTAGGTGTTCTTTAAATAGTAAGGATATTAATATCTCATATGATTGTGTATAGATTCCTGCATCTTGTTTACTTTTTAATTTTATATACTATGAATAGGTATCATTTATAATTAAAATTAATCAGAAAACATAAGTCACAAGAATTAGTCTTCTCATGACATCAAGATTCCCTAAGAATTATGAATGAATAAAAGATGAGGACTGGATACGGGCACTTATAACACTTTACATTTTAGAATCTCTACCTTTAGCAGCCTGTCAAAGAGAACGATTCTGTTTAGCTGGTACTCTGTATCCCTCTCTCGGATGATTAAAGGGAGAGTGGCAGCTGCAGACAGCTCATTATTGCTGTTTGAATGAGGTAAATTAGACTGACTGTAAAAGAGAAACAAAAGCAGAAAAGTTGACAAAAGGTAAAAAAATTTTAAAAATTAAAATACCATATTTTTGTGTTCATTTTAGGAAAAACTTTCCAAAGAAAATGTACAAGCTTCTCACCAGAATAACATAAACAGATAGGGAAAATAAATGTAAAAGGAGATGATATACTCACTCATCTTCAAGTAGTGGGTAAAATGCTTCTCCACCAACATCTTTTAATCTCTGTGAATTGAGAGAGAAAATATTTGATATTTAGGATCTGTGACAGAAATGCTGACCCATATTTAAAAGAAAAACTGACAGAAAAATATGAATTTATAAAGGTAACAAGAAAAGTTATAGACTCTAAAATTCATTCCTAACATATATATGAAAATATGCCATGCCTCCAGTGATTAAATTTATCTGTGAAGAACTGCTTTTTGATTTTTTGACCTCTAGGTACCTCTAGTAGAGATTAGATACTTATTATAAAAGTTTTCCAAATGTAAATACTAAATAAAGTATTCAGAAATACTGAAGTTAGTATAAATTTTAACAAATGGATAACTATTTAAAAATTATATGAAGATTATTTTAAAAGGTACTTTTGAATACATATTCCTAAAAGTCAGATTTTTGTTTTGACATTAATAAAAAAGTTAGACAAAAGTAAGAGGATATAAAAAGGATTCAAAAGAATTTCTCACATCATACTTTGAACATAAATGATTCAAAGAGCTGATAAATCAACTAACAAAAATCAATTTATTTTTTCCACAGTCATTATAATAAATGTTACTCCAAATAATAATATTGCCAGAATTATAGATATTCTTTAAAAACAGAAGGCTGTCAGAGTAAAGTAAAATCTTAGATACACTGTAAGCAGGGTGATTAAAAGTTACTGCCATCCTGTCTGCTGCTCAGTTCAACTTCCAACTGGAAGGCAGAGTATCTGCTTCTCTGGGGATTGACGTAGAAGATGGAGCTGTGTAGAGTCAGCATTGATCTTCTGTTGATTAGCATCTATGCACTCATCCATGGAAGTTGTTCCCAGAATTTTTAAAAGCCAAAAAAACCCCAACACTATGAATCTGATAAAAAGTGACTTTATGCCTAGCTTTTCTCTAAAATTGAACATGCATTTACCATTTTGCTTTTAAGACTTTAGGTATTTCTTTCATGGATTAAAATTCTAAATTGAAAACTAAAATTTTCACAAATTTTACTGCATTATTAACTTACAATTTTTAAGTTTTACTGTCCTGAAAGTCATAAATATAGTTAATATCTTTTCTGTTTTTTTCTAGCTAAAAATTTAGCATATCAAAGGCTTATAAAAGGCAAAATTTCTTACACAGAAAAGTATAAGGTAAAATTATTATTCATTTCCATATTATTTTAAAAATTAACATTAAAATTTTTTCTTAATAATTCTAGAAAAAAGTATTTTAAATTTCAAAAGTGGAATTGTAAGGGAATTGGGGAAATAAAACTAAAGTCCACATTCATTTAACTTGTATTCATATCACTTGTATCAGATTTAAATTAAAGAAACAAACTGAGAGTTAAATAAAAGTAGTTGAAACATATATTTTGGATATATTTTATTTTTACCACCTTGCATTGCTACTTATTTTATCCACTGTACACAGTCTTTCACTTCAAAGGGATGATAAGTTTAGAATATCAAGTGTAATAATTATATATTTTAATTTTCTGTTGCTGGCATTTAAGCAGGTAAGAGACTCTAATACCCTCCTACTCCATAACATTTAAAATATTAAATGAGAGGAAACGCCTGTAAGAGTAATGAAATGCAGTGACAGAAGACACAAAGCTGCACTTAGAGAGAAGGGGGCTAAGCTAGTGCTAAAGGACACAGAACTGTGGACTAGGGTCTCAGAGGACAACAGCACAGAGCCTCAGGCACCCAATTCACAGGCAGTCACACTGGAGGGAGGCCCTGCTACGTCCAGGAGAAGAAAACTCCGGGCGTATGAGTGCGTGCGTGCACGGGGAGAGGGTGCTGAGCTGCTAGCCTAGAGACAGACAAGGGAAATTACCTACTCTACCTTTAGAGCTGGACACGATTAAGGATGCACATAGGTGATTAAAAATAAAAAGGCTAGAAATTTTGGTTTTCAGACCAATACTCCATCAGTGTGGAAGTCATCCTTTCTGCCCTAACAACAAGAAAAAAGCTGGAAAAAACTGAAAATTACAACCCTCTTTAGAACTATCAGAATCAGGGCAAAATGTTACCCAATAGGAGCTTGGGAGATAAAAACCTGTGGAGGCCCAGACCTAAGGGAAACTTCACACTTTCTTGAGTTTTACCCCCATAAGTCTCAACATGTTCTCAGGGTGAAGGCCTAAGAAAAATCCCCTCCTGTCTCTTGCACGAGAAGGGGCAAAATAACCATTCTGAACTCCTCCTAGGGTGTCTTGTCTTACGTAAAGGCCTGCTCTTCAGGGAAACTCTTTTACCAGAGCCTAAATGACCTGTGGTAAGGGAAATACAAAATTCTAGGTCCTTATAGTCTTGATGTGGGGAAGAAGAAATACCCAATTACGGTTCTCTGTAGCCTTCCTGTCTCACCTAAAGTAACAGGGAGGGAAGCTGAGAGTTCCACAGCCCAGAGACACAGGCTCACTAAAACACTGAGACTTAATGATAGGATCAGCCCTTCAATCGACTTTCCCTCCCCTATCTTATTTCCATACGTAGAGTTTCTGTGAAGGACCGGGAAGCCTGGCAAGCTGCAATCCCTGGGGTTGCAAAGTTGGACACTGAGTGACTGAGCAACAACAAAGTTTCTGTATGATACAGGAGATTTCAGCTGAAAGAACTGCAAGCCTCAGATTCTGTGTCTCCAGAGAAATAAAGACAGTAAGGAAGATAAGAACATTGGCGTTTGAGGATTTTACTCTGACAAAAAAGCTACACAAAGAGTAAACAGCTAGATAAACATGAAATCTTTCACTGAAGATCTAGTTATTACAGTTCTTTTTACCAATATATCATGTTGCATTCTCCTCCACCCCCCAAATTGTAAGGCATGCTAAAGTATAAAAAAGACATTCTGCAGAGACCAAGCACTCTTCAGAACCAGATTCACACATGGCAGAGATTTTGGAATTATCAGACCAGGAATTTAAAATAACTGATTAAAATGCTAAAGGTTATAAGGGAAAAAATGAACCACATGCAAGAAGAGGTAGGCAATATAAGCAGAAAGATGAAAATACTAAGGAATAATCAGAGGATGTAACCTATGTGTGACAGGAATACCCAAGAGGAGAGAGAAAGAAATGGAAGAGATATTTGAAGTAATGACAGAAATTTTAAAATCAGACATACACCAAATGAAAAGTCCCAAGAAAGCTCAGAGACCATCAAGCAGGAAACATTTTTTTAAAATCTACATCTAGGCACATCATATTTAAACTGCAAAAACTCAAATAACAAATAGAAAACCTTGACAGAAACTAAAAAAGGAACCTGACCTATAGAGGAAAACGATAAGAATTACATCAGACAGCTCTTCAGAAACCATGCAAGCAAGAGAGTGGGATGAAATGTTTAAAGTATAAAAGAAAAAAAAAAACCTAGAATTTTGTATCCAACAAAATTTTCCTTCAAAAGTAGTAAGAAAGACACACTCTACATTATCTGAAAGAAACCCACTTTAAATATAAATAGATACATTAAAAGTAAAGGAATAAAGATATACCATGAATAACACTAATTAAAAGAAAACTAGGATAGCTAGATTAATTTCAAACAAAACTAACTTTAGAGCAAGAAAAATCATAAAGCTAAGTGAGATAACTGAGGTATGCCTGTATAGCCAATAAAGACTATGTAAATAAATACATTTTTAAAATCCTCAATAAGAAATCATTCAAAAACACTGGCAAGAGATTAAAAACTAGCAATATACTGAAGAGGTAAGCAAATCACAAAAAATATAAAAGGGCTCATAACTGTACAGTAATCTGGTAATTGAAAATTAGTATTACAGCAAAATACCATTTTGCACCTTTTAGAATAATAATTTTTTAAGAATTTGATAAGATCATATGTTACCACATATATGGAGAAATGAGAACCCTTATCCAATGATGGTAAAAAGATAAAGTGATAAGATCATTTCTGTGAACAGAAAATACGACAATAGATACTAGACTGATTGCAGATCCTATTTTCCAACAATGTCACTCCTGGGCACGTATCTTAAAGAAATGCTCACATATTTTATGATACCAGGAAGAAATCTAGGCTTCATGTGTATCTGTAAGGTTTTATTAAAAAAAAAAAAAAGAAGAAGCCACTAAGGGAAGGAGGGAGGGAAGGAGGAAGGGAAGAAGGAAAAAGATCTGAAGCAAATTTGCCAAAATTCCATTCTCACATTTCTTAGCTGACATAATGACAGTGTCACAGTGGTGTCATCTAATAGTGAACTTCTATCTCGACCTTGTCCAAAGCTTTCACCATCTTCAAAGAGAAAACTGAAAAGATATTTTAAAAATAAGTTAGTTTAATGAGCATAGAAATCCAATTTACTGTTTCTTCTAGAAAATAAAATTTACTCTAAATCATAAATCTCTTTATCAAAAGAAAGAAAGAAATTTTAGACTGAATAAAATCTGTAATTGGTGGTAGAAATTTCTCCAAAAAAATCATTTTTAAACATATGTTGAGTTTGTATAGACACAGTGCATGTGTGCCCAGTGACCCAGTTGTGTCTGACTCTTTGCAACCCCATGGACTGCAGCCTGCTAGGCAACTCTGTCCATGTCTACAGGGAAGAATACTGGAGCGGACTGCCACTTCCTCCTTCAGGGTCCTTCCCGAGACTGAACCCAAGACTCCTGCATGCAGATTCTTTACCACTGAGCCACCCGGAAGGCCCCTATAAGTACAGTATATGAATATAAAGCATCTTAGGGATACAAGAATATGATTTACACTGTTCATGCAGGTGCAATGATAAAATTACACTGACGGTATGTAACATGTTCCTGAGGAACTTTATATAGGTAAAAAATGATAAAAGGAGGAAGAAAATAAAATGGTAATGATGATAACTTCTCAGGAGAAAGATTACTGAGTAATACACATATTTAGAATTTTAGAGAATTAATTTTTATATCCTTCAAACCATTTACTCGGAATTGCCATCATCTTATTTCTGATTTTTTTACTTAATGCATCATGTGAACAGTACAATTGAAGGTAATATTTAAGAATCAGTTTAAAAGAGGGGAAAGGTACAGAATTAGTGCTGTATTCAAACAATTAGCCTAAAATTTACCTACGATGAAAAAAATGATCAGCAGATGGTTTTTATAGTTATCTACAGAGATCAAATCTAGTCCTAAAACCTAAAATTAAAACTTTAAAGCACTGATGGAAAGAGATGTAGGTTCTCATTTTTATGAATGAACATGATGAACAATGGAACAATTAACAGTTTTGGCTCTTAGCATTGTATTGTCATTTAATTTCTAAGTAATTTATAAGATGGTGTCTAAGACCTTATACAACTTTGCAGTTTTTCAACAGCGCTTTAGTGCCATGATATCTCTAGGACAGCAATGAGGTCTCTCAGTATATTTTAAAATATCAGTAGAAGTAAAAAAAAAAAAAAAAAAAATAGTTCCTCATAATGGGCATACTGGCCTAGTATATTAACTCTCTTAAATATTACTGTTCTATTTGTACCATTTTTTTAATTGATCACCAACTATTGTGAGATGTTCCATAATAATACTTTTACTTCAAATAGATCATAATACAAATAACTTATTAAAAACAGTAGTTTTAAAAATAACAAAAGCACTGATAAGAACTCTGCAATTAGAAACTCCTACCAAACATTTCACCAAAGAAGACACACAGATGGCCAATAAACACATGAAAAGGGGCTCACACTTGTTATTAGAGAAATGGAAATCAAAACTATATAATGTATCACCTCACACTAGTCAGAATGGCTATCAACAAAAAATCTACAAACAATAAATGCTGGAGAGGACGTGGAGAAAAGGTCAACCTCGTGCACTGTTGGTTGGTGGGAATGCAAGCTGAAACAGCCATTATGGAAAACAGTATGGAGATTCCTTAAAAGAACAGGAATAAATCTACCATATGACCCAGCAATCTCACTCTTGGGCATATATCCAGAGAAAACCAGAACTCTAAAAGACACATGTACCCCAATGTTCATTACAGCAATATTTACAATAGCCAGGAAAGAAGCAACCTAGATGTCCATCAACAGATGAATGGATAAAGAAGTTGTACATTTATATAATGGAATATTACTCAGCATAAAAAGGAACAAATTTGAGTCAGTTGTAGTGAAGTGGATGAACCTAGAGCCTCTTATACAGAGTGAACTAAGTCAGAAAAAGAAAAACAAGTATTGTATATTAATGCATATATATGGAATCTAAAAAAAAAAATGGTAATAATGAACCTAGTAGACAACAGACTTGTGGACACAGGGGAAGATGAGTTTAGTTCAGTTCAGTCGCTCAGTTGTGTCTGACTCCTTGCGACCCCATGGACTGTAGCACACCAGGCCTCCCTGTCCATCATCAACTTCCAGAGTTTACTTAAACTCATGTCCATTGAGGGGGATGATGAGGGTGGATGAATTGAGAAAACAGCATTGTCATATATATATTTCCATCTGTAAAATAGTGGGAAGTTGCTAAATAACACAGGGAACCTAGCCTGGTGCTCTGTGATGACCTAGATAGGTGAGACTGGAGGAAGGTAGGGAGGCTCAGGAGGAAAGGGAGATATATATATATATATTTATGACTGATTTGCATTGTTGTACAGCAGAAACCAACACTAAATTGTAAAGCAATTTTCCACCAATTAAAAAATAAAAAAAAAAAAAACCATGGAAAAGCTGAATAAAAAAAGAAACTCCTGCCAAGGAAGCAAGGTATTGATTTCAAATTGTTTTCACAATCACTTAGCTAGAATGTCTACCTACTAAAAGAAAAAACTATCAAATTAAAAAAAGTTATTACTAGATTTCTCTCATTTCCAAGAGATGTTTTCTTTCCTTACTTGGGGAGTGTGCAGATAGGTGGTTTGGATCGAATGATTTCCTTGTTCACAAGCTCTTTTTCCAAGTCACCTCCAGCTAAACACCAAAGGTAATACACTTCTTCAATAGATCTTTCTGCCAGGTAGTCATTGTTTATATCTATTAGTGGAAAATTTTAAAAAATAGCTATCACACTTTCTGTTTTTATTAAAAGGCAACAGGCAATAATAGCTGACATTTTAAAAAAGTAAAATCTGAAGAACACAGTAAGATTCCCTTTACAATATTCATATTACAAAATGCAGAGGATTAAATGCAGAAATACATACTGGTTGTGCATCCAGCTTCTTTGAGAAAAAAGTGTGATTTTTATCCTCTATATCAGAGATATATACACATAGGCATACATATATGGGATACACACACACATTAGATATATCAAGCCCTGCAGGAAAGAAATAGCAGCAAAAGAAGCACTTGAGTAGGCAACGAGCACACCCTGTCCCATGCTCTGTCTTGAGACAATTTCTGCCTCCTTTAAAGGTCTTGATGTCTCACAGAGGCTTTGCTTCCATTGTACTATGTTCATACTGACCTTCACTTAATTTTTTTTTGGCCACTCCACACAGCATGTGGGACCTTAGTTCTCATACAAGGGATTGAACACATCCCCCTTACATAAGAAGTGCAGAATGTTAACCACTTGGATTGCCAAGGAAGTCTTGGATCTTCACTTACAATAGTAACTATGTGATTGAATGTCTGTTTACCTTCCCAGTTGGCACAAATGATACTTGAAGATATAGTGTATTGAACATAGTAGAAACTCAGTAAGTATCTGACTGAATGAATGTTTAGTATTTCCTACCATGATTATGTCATATTAATTTTTTATATAAACTGATGTCACTAAAAAACACATTTTGAGAGCTGTAATTTTCAGAGAGGAATGAAAAGAGAAAAGGTGGTATTCTCTTACAAACATGGAATATAATAATAATGCACTTAACAATAATATGATTTTTAGATAATTTATAATAAATTTTATGAAATTTATATAAATATTAAGGTAACAGAAATTTCATTGTAAACCAGATCTGATTAGGGCCCTGGTTTACATAATAAGAAAAAATTTTTTGTTTGATACTACTTCTTTGATTCTTAAAATCCTCGCTCCAAAGTAATTTAAATCTAAAGGATTAAAATGTTAGGTTATATTTTAACCACTTCCAAAATTACTTAACTCTCAGATAAGTATCCAAAAAGTCTCACTAATATAAATATATACTGTTGACAAATTCAAAACTGAAATTAGGATAAGGGTACTTCCTTTAAACACATGGCTTCTATTCTTAGTATTCTTTATCATTACCTTTACACAACTGACTGATATCCTCCGGCAGAGTCAAATCAGCACATCTCAGAGAAGAAGAAAACAGGCTAGCAGGTTTGATAAAGGGAGTGTATAAGGGTAACACTTCACTGAACACATTGTCCTGCATTAACTCTTCTGGGGTTGGCCTTAAGAAACACATTTAAAATATAGCACATGAATGAAAGTCATTAAAATGTTCTTTGAGCAATGGCACACTTAAGGGGAATAATTAAAAGTCATGAACACCTCATTAGCATAGAAAATAACAAAGCTCTCCTCTCAGAGTCTAGATATACACCTTTAAAAAGGAATCAAATGATTATAAATAAATACTGACTTTTTTTAGCTTTTGTGCTTTTTGTACTTTACAACTTATCAAATATTATTACATATGAGCATCTCCAGTTTTTACTTTCAGCTTGACCATCATAAACTTGCTTCACTGAATATCCTAATTGAATAATAAAAGTATAAACCAATACTATCTTCTGATTTTCTTCCTACTCTCTTAATGTGGTATTAGTTCAGTCGCTCAATCATGTCCGACTCTTTGCGACCCCATGAGCCGCAGCATGCCAGGCCTCCCTGTCCATCACCAACTCCCAGAGTTCACCCAGCTCAAGTCCATTAAGTCAGTGATGCCATCCAACCAGCTCATTTTCTGTCATCCCCTTCTCCTCCCGTCTTCAATCTTTCCCAGCATCAGGGTCTTTTCAAATGAGTCAGTTCTTTGCATCAGGTGGCCAAAGTATTGGAGTTTCAGCTTCAGTCCTTCCAAACAACACTCAGGACTGATTTCCTTTAGGATGGACTGGTTGGATCTCCTTGCAGTCCAAAGGATTCTCAAGAGTCTTCTCCAACACCACACTTCAAAAACATCAATTCTTCGGTGCTCAGCTTTCTTTATAGGCCAACCCTCACATCCATACATGACTACTGAAAACACCATAGCTTTGACTAGATGGACCTTTGTTGACAAAGTAATGTCTCTGCTTTTTAATATGCTATCTAGGTTGGTCATAACTTTTCTTCCAAGAAGCAAGTGTCTTTTACTTTCACGGTTGCAATCACCATCTGCAGTGATTTTGGAGCCCCCCAAAATAAAGTCTCTCACTGTTTTCACTGTTTCCTCATCTATTTGCCAATAAGTGATGGGACTGGATGCCATGGTCTTAATTTTCTGAGTGTTGAGTTTTAAGCAAGCTTTTTCACTCTCCTCTTTCACTTTCATCAAGAGGTTCTTTAGTTTTTCTTCGCTTTCTGCCATAAGGGTGGTGTCATCTGCCTATTTGAGGTTATTGATATTTCTCCCAGCAATCTTGATAGCAACTTGTGCTTCATCCAGCTCAGGGTTTCTCATGATGTACTCTGCATGTAAATTAAATAAGCAGGGTGACAATATACACCCTTGACGTACTCCTTTTCCTATTTGGAACCAATCTGTTTTCCGTGTCCAGTTCTAACTGTTGCTTCCTGACATGCATACATATTTCTCAAGAGGCAGGTCAGGTGGTCTGGTATTCCCATCTCTTTCAGAATTTCCACAGTTTGTTGCGGTTCACACAAAGGTTTTGGCATAGTCAATAAAGCAGAAATAGATGTTTATCTGGAACTCTCTTGTTTTTTTGATGATTCAGCAGATGTTGGCAATTTGATCTCTGGTTCCTCTGCCTTTTCTAAATCCAGCTTGAACATCTGGAAGTTCACGGTTCATGTATTGCTGAAGCCTGGCCTGGAGAATTTTGAGAATTACTTTACTAGCGTGAGAGATGAGTGCAATTGTGTGGGAGTTTGAGCATTCTTTGGCATTGCCTTTCTTTGGAATTGGAATGAAAACTGACCTTTCCCAGTCCTATGGCCACTGCTGAGTTTTCCAAATTTACTGGCATATTGAATGCAGCACTTTCACAGCATCATCTTTTAGGATTTGAAATAGCTCAACTGGAATTCTATCACCTCCACTAGCTTTGCTCGTAGTGAGGCTTCTTAAGGCCCACTTGACTTCATATTCCAGATGTCTGGCTCTGGGTGAGCGATCACACCATTGTGATTATCTGGGTCATGAAGATCTTTTTGTACAGTTCTTCTGTGTATTCTTGCCACCTCTTCTTAATATCTTCTGCTTCTGTTAGGTCCATACCATTTCTGTGCTTTATTGTGCTCATCTTTGCATGAAATGTTCCCTTAGTATCTCTAATTTTCTTGAAGAGATCTCTAGCCTTTCTCATTCTATTGTTTTCCTCTATTTCTTTGCATTAATCCCAGAGGAAGGCTTTCTTATCTCTCCTTGATATTCTTTGGAACTCTGCATTCAGATGCTTATATCTTTCCTTTTCTCCTTTGCTTTTCATTTCTCTTCTTTTCACAGCTATTTGTAAGGCCTCCTCACACAGCCATTTTGCTTTTTTGCATTTATTTTTCTTGGGGATGGTCTTGCTCCCTATCTCCTGTACAATGTCACGAACCTCCGTCCATAGTTCATCAGGCACTCTGTCTATCAGATCTATTCCCTTAAAGCTATTTCTCACTTCCACTGTATAATCAAAAGGGATTTGATTTAGGTCATATCTGAATGGTCTAGTGGTTTTCCCCACTTTCTTCAATTTAGGTCTGAATCTGGCAATAAGGAGTTCATGATCTGAGCCACAGTCAGCTCCTAGTCTTGTTTTTGCTGACTGTACAGAGTTTCTCCATCTTTGGCTGTAAAGAATATAATCATCTGATTTTGGTGTTGGCCATCTGGTGACGTCCATGTGTAGTCTTCTCTTGTGTTGTTGGAAGAGGGTGTTTTTTCTATGACCCGTGTGTCATAGAAACATTAGCAAAACTCTATTAGCCTTTGCACTACTTCATTCTGTACTCCAAGGTCAAATTTGCCTGTTAATCCATGTGGTTCTTGGCTTCCTACTTTTGCATTCCAGTCCTCTATAATGAAAAGGATATCTCTTTTGGGTGTTAGTTCTAAAAGGTGTTGTAGGTCTTCATAGAACCATTCAACTTCAGCTTCTTCAGCGTTACTGGTCAGGGCATAGCCTTGGATTACTGTGACATTGAATGGTTTGCCCTGGAGATGAATATAGATCATTTTGTCGTTTTTAAGATTGCATCCAAGTACTGCATTTCGGACTCTTTTGTTGACTATGATGGCTACTCCATTTCTTCTAAGGGATTCCTGTCCACAGTAGTAGGTATAATGGTCTGAGTTAAATTCATGTGGTATATTTACCCAAAACTATGCTTTTAATACCATTCCTCTCATTCAAACATGTCTTGATAAAGATGTTTTCATAAAGATAAATTAGAATATATTATTTTCAAATATTACATACTTACAGAGTTTAGGGACAAATGAATGGGTAACAGTGACATCATCAAATGAAAATAATAAAACTTCTAAGAAATCCTTTTACATTATCAACAATTATTAACTTACCTCACTAAGTGTTTTTCTATAATGCTTATTTAGCAATAAACTTTTGTTCTCATTTTTCTCATATCATTGTATCTAGGCATATCTACCTTCCATAGTTTAGAAAATGAACTAGTGGCTGCCTTTGGTATATGCCAGCTTTCTGATCATGTTTTAATTATTTTTTCTTCTCTTATGACCATACATTAAAGCCAAAACTAACAGTTATGATACTAATATCAATCATACATTATTACATATGTTAATATTCTTATTTAATCCATTAGTATTAAAAAATTAAGTACTTATATGTTAAGATCTCAGTAATAATCCCAAACTCTTGATATCAACCTCTTAGAAGGATGGAAGGTGAGGCACTTCTTTAAAAGATTTATCACAGTTTCAGGAAGCTCCTGGTAAACAGAGAGAGAGAGTAATTATTTTAAACAATCCACTTAAAAATTTATATTTCTTACATAGTTTTCTACTTTAAGAAGTTTTGACTTCTTTGGAAAGCCTTTGCTTTAAAATAGTTTGCTACTGGATCCCAAGTATGCAAAATAAATTTTCAATAACAGATTAATGACAAACCTTTATAATGTCCAGACAACCATGCTCCTCAGCCAGAACTATTATAGTGTCATCTACACAGTCTACAAAACAGGAAAATTACATGAATTAAAGCTGCTTTTACAACTTACCAGACTGGGAATTAAACTTTAATAACATTATTTTAAATTGTATAATGCAACTTTGGAACTTGGAATATTAAAAAAGTTGAGACTTTGTCAAGTTTCCTTATATGTTTTAATAAATGAAAAAAGGCTTTATTTTATTTTTATGATTATAAGACTGCTTTTATTAAATACAATTGAAGAATGTACACACATTTTTCTGGTCTTTAAACTATAAAGTTTAGCCTATAGACACTATTTATAGATCTCCAAGACTCTTTAATAGCCATATTACCAATCTTTAAAAGTGATAAAACTGTAACATTTTATACAATTTTATTTACAATTCATTGTTATTTAATATTCACTAATATTATTCTATACACATCCATATTTGTAGACCCTATTAACCTGGACACCAATCTGACACTCTTTTATACAAAGTGCTCTATCACTGTTTTTCTCTCCTTTTTTTACCATACATCCTTAACTTATTCTACTCTAAAGTGGATTACAAAAATGTTTATAAATGTGAATTACAAGTATTTGGATTATTCACATGTGAAATATATGAGCTTGTTATAAGGAAAAATAAACATTCTTCCTCAGTCATTACTTACATATAACTCACTAAATGGAAAGCTCAAAGGTTATAGTACATTGAAGGTAACTGCTACAGAGAAGTACAATTTTATAAGTTCATATTTTGATTCAAAAGTTACTTTGGTTGGCTAGATCATAAAGCTAAGTTATACCCCAGGACATTATAATTCCTTACAGTGAATAAGGAAAAGCTCTCCAATAGTACCTCAAGGGCGCTTAAACTGTCCTGTTAATGCTTATCACTGATCATTGGAAAACTGAAGAAAGTGAAGATATTTCAGTGTAGTCACTATTTTGATGAACACATTCTCTATGTGCATAATTACTCTCACTAAAGATTATATTTATAACTGAAAGATAATCAATTGTGAGACACTTACCCAGTGTAAGCAGAAATTTTAGTCTTTCAGAAATATCTAAACTCTGAAATAATTTTCTTCCCTACATAAAAGATAAAAGAAATTCTTGTTAACATTTACGTATTCTTCCCAGGGAGGTTTTATTTTTCATGGCTGAAAATGATTTTTCAATTATCTCTATTTCTCTTCAGAGGTTTTATTAGATTTTTTTGAATTGGCTCCTTTTAAAGAAAAATCATTGGTGACATACATTTTTTTAATGTGGCATAATGCTTACCATTTAAACATTTTCTATATCTAATAATCATTACATTCTAGTTTGATCTCAAGCATTCTTCATTTTTGAGACCCACATATATCTGGTTGTCTAGAGGGACTCCAGGAGTCTTATTTAAGAGACCAAAATGTTTTATTATCCTTTCATCTACCCAACTAATTCTTACTTATATATCATGATCCAGGTAATCTGTTGTCTCCATTAAGAAATATTCCACAACACTCCTTCCTCTTCTCAACATGACTTAAGACAAGCATCTTTGTGTTTTCCATAGTAGCTGGTATATTCCTTAAGATACATATGTTATATTTTAGTTGTTTCCTTATGAGTTGGCTTCAGAGGGCTCCTTGAAAAAGAGTCTTGAATCAAGCACAACTTCAATGATTATGCGTTGAGCAACTATTGTGCGTCAAGCTGGACTTTCCACCATGAGTTATATACTATGGGTAAATTACTTGACCACTTTAAGCCTCACTTTTCTCATTTATAAATTGGAATATTAACTATACATGCCATGTAGGTTGTGGTGAAGGTTATATGATGTATAAAAAACTGATTAGCATTTTCTGCATAAAGAAAATGCTTCATAAATTTTGGCTATTATTATGTTTCTATTATTATAAACAAAGTAAACTTGTATGATCATTTAAAAAGACTTAGGAGAAGGTGTAAGAAGACAGCTTGGTGTTTATGCAGCGAAAGGGGCTCTGATTTTCTTTTTTTTAATAGAGAAGAAAAAACTTTCTTAAAGTCTTATGAAATTAGAACTACAGGTGGAGAGATCACTGAAAACAAATTGCCCTTCCTCTCTCTCTTTTCAATCTCTTACACTACTATCAATATTAATCTTCTAGATTTAAATGTAAAACTCTTATAGAAAAACATAAGCAGAACACTCTCTGACATAAATTGAAGCAAGATCTTTTTTGATCTACCTCCTGGAGTAATGAAAAACAAAAATAAACAAAAGGGACCTAATTAAACTTAAAAGCTTTTGCACAGCAAAGGAAATCATAAACAAAATGAAAAAAAAACCCACAGAATGGGAGAAAATATTTGCAAATAGAAATTTCCCCAAAAAAGACACACAGATGGCCAAAAAGCACATGAAAAGATGCCAAACATCATTATTATTAGAGAAATGTAAATCAAAACTACAATGAAGTTATCACCTTACACTGGTCAGAATGGCCATCATCAAAAAATCTATAAATAATAAATGCTGGAGAGGGTGTAGAGGAAAGAGAACAGTGCTACATTGTTGGTGAGAATGTAAACTGGTAGAGCCTTTATGGAGAACAGTATGGAGGTTCCTTAAACAACTAAAAATAGAGCTACCATATGGTTAAGTGGGTATATACCCCAGGAAAGCCATAATTTGTAAAGATACATGTACCCCAGAGCCCACTGCAGTATTATGTACAATAGCCAGGATATGGAAGCAACCTAAATGTCCCCTGAAAGAGGAATGGATAAAGAAGATGTGGTACAATGAAATACAAAGAAGATATGTACAGTGAAATATCACTCAGCCATGAAAAAGAATGAAATAATGCCATCTGCAGCATCATGGATGCACCTACAGATGGCCATACTGAGTGAAACCAAAGTCATAAATATTGTATAATATTGTTTACATGTGGAATCTAAAAAAAATGGTACAAATGAATTTATCTACAAGAGTCACAGATGTAGAAAACAACTTTATGGTTTCTGGGGGTAAGGGGAGGGAGAGATAAATTGAGACACTGGGGTTGACATATATAATACACACTACTATATATAAAACAGATAACTATTAAGGACTACTGTATAACACAGGAAGTGCTATACAATACTCTGTAGTGATCTATATGGGAAAAGTATCTAAAGAAGAGTGGATGTATGCGTATGTATAACTAATTCACTTTGATGTACCCCTGAAACTAATACAACACTGTAAAACAACTATACTCCAATAGAAATTAAATTTAAAAAGACCCACCTTTAAAAAAATTAATCTTCTAAAACTGCAAGTTTGATTTCAGCTTGCTTAAAAACTTTAAATGTCTCCCCTACCTTATATAAAAATAATCCTCTCAATATGGCAGTCAAACTCTCCTAGGATATGGCTCCTATCCATTTTACTTATTAATTTATATTTAATATCTTGTATGAAATCTAAAGGTTTGATGAGGTAAAGGAAGATTTAAACCATCCTCAACCTGGACTGGCTAAACTTTTGAGTACCTCTTAAAATGTCATGAAGCCCCTATTATGGAATTAATATTTCCTTTCTTATAATTCATGCAGTTCTTTGTGCCTATCTTCAAAGTTCATGGATTTGCATTACATTATGGCTCTTTGACAATACATTTTAATCATAGTTTATTCCTGTTGTATTATTATACACACAGAAAATACTCATCAACATTTGTTGAACTGAATTACCTATATAAGAAATACCCAGATCATAAGTAGTTTAAATATAAGTAATGGTAATAAAAAGGAAAAGCTACATTTGTCACATTTACACTTATGTATACTTTACATTCCAAGAAAATTCTTCATTTAGGCTATGATTTTAAACAAAAATGAGATTTACTATAATTTCATACCAATGAAAAGTAAGATGGTCTAGACAAAGGATAGAAAAGAATCAGCAAGTCTGGCATTTTCCTTTACAAAAAACAATGCCAATGTATAAGCTACCAAGTTATTGCTAACATTTAAGTGTTAATAATAAAAGCTAACATTTATGTACTGTGATATAATACCCTATACTAAGCACTTTATATATGTTTTTCATTTAATTTTTCCAATAGCTTTACAACATAGATATGATTATTTTTGAAAGTAGAACCAAAGCCTTAAGAAGTTACATTAGTTACCTTAAGTCACACAACTACACTTTGTTGCCTCAGATTTCAAACCAAGTTCTCTCTGACTATGAAAGCCTGTCTCTTAACTATTGTGCCTTTACTACTGCTGCTGTTGAACTGGTACACAAAACACACAAAATGAAAATAATATCATCCTAATCCTTAGATATGGTAAAGATCAATGAGTTAATATTTTCAAAAATACTTTAAAAATCCATTGGAAGACAGAACAACAGATAAGTAATAAAATTGTCTGCCCCTAAAGACCTCATTGCCCAAGAAGACAAATATAACAAATGCTAAAATAGAAGAGAGCAAAGAAAACAGAGACTAACCATGGCAGGTACTTGGAGGCAGAATCAACAAAATATTAACTGTCCCTCCAAACTCATCCTCATCTATCTATCAGGCACCTATCTATGGCCACAGGAGTAAACTGTCAAGTGGAAAGCAGAGTGGATACCTATAACTTTTACATCATTTTCTTAAAGACTGTTACCAAGAATTCACTCCTCTCCTTTTCTGATGGCTAAAAAGGAGGATAAAGCAGCATCTTTCAGAGCGATCCCTGATAGCCTAAGTTTTGGCATGACATTGTGGAACAGAGCCCACTCTTTCTGAGGACTGTTATATGAGGGAGAAAAACATCTGTGTTCTTTAGGGCATTGCATTAAAAAACATCTTTATTATGATGATATTGGCATTTTAATTTTTTTGGCTGCATGCACATGGGATCTTTGTTTCCTGACTAGGGATGCAACTTGTGCCCCTTGCACTGGAAGCTCGAAGTCTTAACCAGCTGGACCACCAGGGAACTCTCTAAGCTACTGCATTTTTAATTCTTTGTTTATAATAGCTGTATAGTCTTTACTACACAAATAAATATAGAGGATATTTCAGGAAGGCCTCATAAAAAGCCAACTCTTAATAAGTGAGTCTTAATGAAAACAGAATAGGGGAGAAAAAAGGTATTTAAGGAAGAAAGAATACCATAGATGGGAGAGAGAGCATGAATATACTGAAATGTGTAAGCAGTTTTAGTGTAAATGTTTCTAAATATGCTTTTTACACTTAATATAACGTAAGTTTTTAATACTTAGTACAGGTGCAAATATTTCTAGGTACACCAAAATAATTTTTCTAATAAACACACCATTTTTATTAGTTCAATATTTCTTTATACATACCACACAGAGCTCAAATAAAATGATTCCAAGAGACCAGACATCTGATTTGGGGCCAGAAGGCAATGGTTTTTCACTTGGCACATGATCACTGGTTTTGAAAATTCCTTGCGCAATTACCTCAGGTGCCAAGTACGATGGATACCTAAAATGGTATAATTTAAGAATGAATTTATTACTATGAGCTAGAAAGGGGGAAATATGTATGTAGTGGCATGTCTTTACTATCAGTACAGTATAATCCATACAAAAGCTCAATGAGGTTAAATGAACAACTCTTGCTAGGAAGAATTCTTAACTACCATAATACAGAACTTATGTCTAGGAATCAAGAGGAAATACACGAGTCTCAAGGAATGTTAAACCTATCTCGCCTTTAGCTCCTTTGTTTTCCTCTGTATTAACACATTGCTTTCAGACTTCCAGGTTTCCAGGTGTTTTTCCTTCTTCCTTACTGCCTATCTTCTCTTTATACTTAACTCTTATTTAAATTTTATCTTTGAAAATAGTATTTGTTCTTCTGAATAGTAGGAATGTCAAAATCTGTAAAAACATATAAATTGAAATGTAAGACTCTTTCCAATCTCTGTATACCAGTCACTCACACATATTTATGTACAAATAAAGTTGACCATTTATCATCATTGCTCTATAGGGAAGTATAGTATATGCACTATTCTGTACTCTTTTTCACTCAAAATATATTTTGGAGATCATTCTTATAAAATAAGTATAGATTTGTCTCATTCTTTTTGAAAACTGCCAATAATTTCATTGCACTGATAAACTTAATTTATGTGATACAACTCTGAAGGAGGATATTTGGAAGTTGACTACTACTTAAAATGCTCACATGGATATATTACAGATATCCTATTTCCCCAAAATATATAGATGAAAGACAAATTCCTAGGCATGGCACTACAAAGTCATAAGGTAGATGCATTTTAAATTTTTATATATATTGCCAAGTTGCCCTTTCAGGTTATGGCAATTTATATTCTCATAAGCAGTATATAAAACTGCCTCTTTTCCTTAACCTTCACCAATATAAGTTTTTTTCAAAAAATTGCTTTAGTAAATATGAAATACAGACTATTAAATATGAATAAGGTATAAAGGATAAAGCTTAAAAGAACACTCATGTACCTACCAACCAGTTTAAATAATGAATATGAAATTATCACTAAAAGTCCCTATTTTTGTGTTGATAATTCTCTTCCATTTTATTTACCGTTTTACCATGTTTGTAACCCTTAAAACTATTAATATGTTGTTTGAAAGTGAAAGTGAAGTCGCTCAGTCATGTCTGACTCTTTGCGACCCCATGGACTGTAGCCTACCAGGTTCCTCCCTCCATGGGATTCTCCAGGCAAGAATACTGGAGTGGGTTGCCATTTCCTTCTCCAGGGGATCTTCCCAACTCAGGGATCAACCCTGGGTCTCCTGCATTGCAGGCAGACGCTTTAACCTCTAAGCCACCCGGGAAGCCCAGTCAAGCACATATCTGAACTTTATAGTACTGGAGTTATGCTGCCATTATTCCTTTGTGATTTGCTTTCTTTAGTCAACATTATTTATTTAAAAGAGCCATTCACACTGCTGTATGTAGATTTAAGTCATTGATTTTTATGTCTGTTTTGTGAATATATTATTCATTCAAATGTCAATGATCATTTATTTCCTTTCTTTTTGTACTATAAACTATGTTGCTAGAAATAGTATGTTGTTGTGTACACATAGTATGTTGTTGTGTAGCAACACTTCTAGCAAAAGTCTTCCCAGGAGTATAAACCTAGCACTGAATTTCTAGGCCATAAGACATGTGCACTTTCAACTTCATAACACCACACTAAACGCTTCTTGAGAGGGGTTGTACCAATTTAAACTCCTACTAGCGGTATACAACAGATTCTATTGCTTACTTCTCCAAAACTTGTTGGACAGCAGTGACAGACTTTCTAATGTTTGGCCATCTGGGGGTGAGACTCACAAACCATTGTACAATAGTTTTCATTTGGATTTCCTTGATAACTAAAAAGGGTGAGGCACATTTTCATAGATGAAAATTGGCACTATGATGCCATTTTACCCTTAGGTGATCACATTGCTCTTGTAAACGAATGTGTGAAATCTCTTCAGATAAGTGAAGTCTAGTGGAAAAGCAATGACCTTGATATCATAAAGCCTGTATTCTAATTCCAGTCCTATCACATATTTTATATGTGGTGACTTATGCTCCAAATTCCTTTTTAATCAAGGACATGTTAAGTTACTTAATAAAAACACTAAACATTAGGCTTATTTTTTAATATAGGTTATCTCCTTCCAACAAGTGCCTCTTCTTTAGCACTGCCTTTTAACACTCAGAGAAAACTACCAGAACTCTGCCATGAGTATGATTGGTGAGATAAATATAAGTGGTTTTCACCATCTGTCTGATGTTTTAACAAGGTATTAAGCTACTGGCCAACTGAAATGAATGTCCAATTTCTAACTCATTACAGTATTTTGAAACAGATGTTAATGTTTTACTTTTTTGTTCCTTAATATTTGTCTTTTGAATCAACTGCAAGCTCCGTCTGGTGTAAATATTTTCTTTCATGACTTAGCTGTTTGATCACTTTATTTTTCCTGGCTAAGGTTTCAAATTTTGCTCTTTGATACTTTCTGGTCAGACCTTTTGCATCCAAGACTTCAAAGTAAGCCAAACCAAATGGCACATGAGACCAATTCTATCCAAGCATTTTAAATTCAAATGTAACTCTTCAAAATGTTTGATATGCTTTAAAAAAAATCACTTCCTTTCTTCTATTCATCATTAAAACATAAAGCACCTTTAAGTAAAAGATAAAAAATTAAAGTAATTTTTGTTTGTTTTGTTTTTGGAGTTCTCACTTATATAAATTTAGACAAAATGAAGGATCACGCTTACTACAGCTGCCTAAAAGCTATTTCAAAGGGTAATTATCACACATGATGAAGATACCAGAGCCTTACTATAAATTTAATTTTATTATTTGAAAAGGCTTTCTTTTAACAAATAAAGCATAGGCTATTTTTATAAAATACTGTTTTTGTGCTTGTGAGAACAACTATTTGTTGCCTACAGCCACATGGTATTCAAAACTATAAACTATGAATTCATGCACGTTAATAAGTAAGTCATCAAAACAGAAAAATTTCCATTAAATAATGAGCTTCTTGAAGTTAGGGACCTATCTTATCCATTTTTGTATATCCAGAAGCCTTAAGAAAAGGTGTTTAATAAATATTTTCTTAATAAATAAAGGAAGGTAAACAATTTAAGATCAGCTATGTTCAAACAGAAAATTTTAAGTAAGAAACCTAGAAGTTAATTTATAGAGCTAAAAAAATTGATAAATGAGATCATTTTTACGAACCTATCTGCAAGGCAGGAATAGAGATGCAGACATAGAGAATGGGCATGTGGACACAGGAGACGGGGAGGGCGGGGCAAACTGGGAGAGTGGCACTGACACATATTCACGATCATGCCTAAAACAGCTAGCTAGTGGGAAGCGGCTTTACAGCACTGGGAGCCAGGTCAGTGTTCTGTGATGACCTACACGGTGGAATGGAGGTGGGAGGGAAGCTCAAAAGGGGAAGGATATATGTACACAGACAGCGGATTCACAGAGCTGTGCAGTAGAAACTAACACCGCATTGTAAAGCAATTATACTCCAATTAAAAAAAAAGAAATTTAAAACATCTACTTAAGTTTTCAAGCAACATTTCCTGCAGAAACATACACCATAACTCCAAACCACAATTTCCAATAATGGAGTGACAAAAACTGACTTTAGAGAGCACAAAGGGCAACACACAAATGCATATCATTAAGCGTATCACACAGCAATTAAAAAATATTCTTAAGGTTTTTAAAGTATAGTATTATATCAACTTTAATTTCCTGATTTTGATAATTATTTTGTGGTTCTGAAAGAAAACTCCTTACTTCAGAAATTACAAACTGAAGTATTTAAGGGTAAAAGGCCATTATATACACAAATAATTCTTAAATAATTCAGAAAAAATTATACACAACAACACATATACATATAAGATAAAAGAAAGAGAGAAAACAAAAGTTGTGAAATGTTAACATTTGAGGACTCTAAGTAAAGGCTATATGGGAAATTTTTGTACTATTTTGTAACTTCTATGTACCTAAAATAAGGTCAAAATTAAACACTTATAAAAGTATTATATTATTAACATGTTTAAAAAGCAACCACACAATAAATATAATACAAAAATCTATATTAAAAGCTTTAATTGAGTCCAGGATGAAGTAAACTTTCATTCTCTTTTTGGAGGCCAATATAAATCTGGAATTCCATATAAAGAAACTCTCCAAACTTACATACAGACTTTCAGTTATAGAATCCACCCCATTACTGATAGTTACAGTGACCTGACTTGAGGCTTAATATCCAATTATATCTTAGAGAACAGGGATTTAAATTAAAAACATCAGAGAAAAACATGAGAGTGTTTTTCTCAGTCTTTTCAGGAACACACATTATCATTTGTCAGCCTTTTTGCCTTAAATTTACCTAATTCTGAATGAAATAAAGTTAATTTTTATAATACATAGTGAAGAAATTCAATAATCTGTTAGCCTCACTACTAATTCAATGAAAAATGAATGTCAGGGAACTTTTGTATCCTGGCAAAAACTCATTGTCACCTCTTAAAAGTATATGGAGAATTAAGATATTTTTAATTTTAAAAAGGTAGTTTCATGTCAAAAATATCAAATTAACAAATATATCCTTAATAAAAGATTAGAAAGTTTAAGACAAAACTAAAAAAAAAAAAAAAAACCCAAAACATATTCTTACCCAATTGGGAAATCAACATCGTCACCATATGCTGTCATGTGATAAAGTCCAAATTTAGCCAATTTAACATGTCCCTACAATAACAAAGAAAAAAAATCACATAAAATATTTTCATACTACTGGCAGGTAAAATTATGATTATACATTTTATAAGTAACACTATCATTAAGATACATTAAGAAAAATTATATTTTGATTTATTATAATTTAAAAAAATCCGTGCGTGTTTGACATCTGCTTTATGTTCATTACAAACATATACAAACACAACATATATTATATATATATAAGAACGACAACATTTAAAAATTGTCGCTGCTTGTATTTCCTGAGCTCCTTTAAAAAACAAAATATGTTGTTAGTTGTCTTGAATCCTTGCTTAGAATATTTTGTGTTGATTTTCACAAAAGAAATTGTTTGCAGGAATTGCAAGTCCATTTACAATGTTATGATTTTTTTAACTTGAAAGTTTTTAACTTGAAAAGGCATGTTCACAAATCAAGATATTAGTGAATCTGCTTTATTCCCAACAATTTTTATACTGTTTTAGAATAATCATAAATACCACAAAAGATTCTTAAAAGGCAAATGCACATTGTATAAATCTCTTAAGTTTTTCCCCTTTTAGATGTTTAGAACTTAAATTTTTTTTCAGTTTAGAAGTTCTTTTGCTTAAGAGCTGTATTTCCCAGAATTACAAAACATTTATATTTTAAAAACAATTTCAATTAGTTACTCTACTATCTTAACTATGAAATTATAAGCACCATTTTATCTTTATTTTTAACATCATAGAGCATATACTGAAAGTCTAAAAGAAAAATAAAAATCCTACTGATACAAAAAATAATTCCCCAGAAAAAGTTTCCTCAAATTATTTTATAAGCTTATGAAAAAATAATAAAATTCTTGAAAAAAATCCCCTTGCTACTCATAATTCACATAATACCCACCATAGGAGTAGACTAGCTTCTTATTTAATCCCCCATAAGAATCCAAGCAGAGAATTAGCACTCCAATTTAAAAACCAAGCTACATAAAAACAGCTGGTAAACAAAGAAAATAAGTGACAAAGGAAAAAAGAAAGTAGAAAAGAAGAATAAAATGGAGAAAACACAATTCAGCTGTACTATGAGAAAAATATTCTATGTAAATAGTCAGAGAATCTTTTTTAAGATAAAAGCAAATTCACAGAAAGAGTGGACTGGGAAGTCTCAATGTGTATTTCACAAAATGAGTGAAAGGAAAAATAAAACATGAAGGCAGAAAAAGAGTCCAGGGAAAAAAGAATAGTGCATGTAAAAGACACATGGATTTATATAATTAGAGATACTTTCTTTTTAAACAACCACAAGTACATTACTTTCATATAATCTTTTCATTATGAATACTCTTAAGACATTCTAATTCTTTCAGCAGGCTACAACCTGAAATAAAAAAACCAAATATTTAATGTACTATTGATGATTACCTTTTGATCCAAAACGATATTATGAGGAGACAGTGCCCGGTGTACTATACCATGTTTATTCATATACTGCAAGCCCTGAAGTACCTCAAATGCTATGCACAAAACCTTTGAATAGCTACAAAGAAAACAAAAAGTCACAGATCAATAGATCAATTACAAAGCAGATATAGAACTTGTTTTTTTTTTTAGAACCTGTTTTAAGAAATAAAATGAGGTTCAATGATAAAATTCAAAGATCTACCTATATATACATATATATATATTTTTTTTTTTAAATTTTTTTTTTTTTTGACCGTGAAGCTTGTGGGATTTTAGTTCCCATTCCCCAACCTGGGCAGGCCCTCAGCAAGGAAAACATGGAGTACCTTGATTGCCAGGGAATTTCCCAAAGGGTTTTCTTTTCATTGCACCACCTCTAATCAGAGAAAATAGACTCTATACATTTTCTAAAATATTTACTCAGGCATATTTGATTTTACAATTACAGCAGAATTGATCTTACAAAGAACCTATAGTTTTCACTACTCCAACTGCAGTCCCATTCTCCAGGAAGGGAGATTAATATTGGCAGGGTGCAAATGACCTTTTGCAGGTTGGGCTTTAACAAATTATCAGGAAATTTCAGATATATAGCAGAACCAAATCAATGAAAACCATGGATTCTGGTCAAGACAAAAACACCTATGTCCCTGAAAAACAGCTATATTTTATGGAAGAGACATGAGCTTACTTTCCATATCAATCTGCAAGGCAATGTCCAGAAATTTATGATTTATCAAATATTTCTTTCTTATCCTATGCTCTCTTAAGCCAACTTCCAAAGGGATACCCAGTTTCTTTCTCTCTCTCTCTCCCCTTCCCTCTCCCTGTCCTTTTTTTTTTAAATAAAACATCACTCATATAGGAAGTTAGGGAGAATATACAGAGAAGTAGTGGAGCCTAGTTCAAACCCAATCCCCAAAATCATTAATATTAGGGTATAGATTTCTTTTATTCTCATTTTTTTAACATTTTAAATCATACTTTAAAAAATCAAATTAATATCTGAGTAACTACTAAATTAATTTTTAAAAGGTATAAATAAAAAGCTAATAATAGAGACATATGAAATAATTTTAAAAATAGTTCATCTAAAAGCAGGTAGAATAAAAGAGAAAAGAACAAAGAACAAATGTAACAATTAGGGGAAAAACATCAAAAACACAATGAAACTACTGTGTATGCAGTAGAGTGAGCAAAGGGTAGGGCTGATAGCAGATGAGGTCACAGGTAGCAAGGTCAGAGGGTTAGATCACTTTAGGCCATTTAGGTCTTTGGTTTTTACTCTGAGACAGATGGGAAGTGATTGGGACGCCACTATACTACATACAGGAAAAATTCGCAGTAGAACTAAGCAGAAAAGGAAATAAAAACTTAAGCCAACTTAACCCCTAGCTCTCAAGAGATATCTCATCATCAGGATTAATAGATGCTATAATTTTATAATTATAACTCTAGATGCTATAATTTTATAATTATAACTCTATTCATGAAGATTATCATCAGCTACCACCATTTTTATACCTCATTTTTGTGTTTTTTTCTTTAGCTAGAATACACTCATAAGAAAATTTTTCATAAGGGTGGCAGGAGTAGATATTTTAAAGCATGGCATGTCTTAAAATGTCTTACTATTGTATTTAAACATAGAATTTCTCCTTGTCTTCAAATGTTCTTTATTGATAGTGATAAATGTAATATCAGTCTGATCTTAATTCTGTTGTAGATACCTTGTTATTTCTCTCTGGAAGCTTTCAGGATTCTTTTACACTTCATATTCTTAGACCTATAAGAAATTTAGTCCAATATGTCCAGTGTGTGGGCATTTGAGAATTTGTGTTTGTAAGTATTAGGTGTGCCTTTTCAATCTAAAAATTCATGTTCCATCAAGACAAAAACATTAACAAGGAAAAGTTGATTTGTTGTACCTTTGATTATTTTCTCCCTCTACTGTATCTTTTAGTCAGAACTCTTAGGGGGCAGATGAAAATAAGATTTATTCTATCAACTTGATGTTTTATTTCCTATGAGCATGGCCTATTATTTAATTTCCAAGATTTCTCTTCTGGTCTCTAGTCGTTCCTTTTCAGTACATCCCGTTCTTTGGCTATGAATTTATTATTCTTTTGAGTCTCTCTGAGGGAAATTATTAGAATTATTTTTAATTTAGGAAACAAAAAAGCATGTTTATCTTCATTTCCTCTGGGCTAAGTTTTTAAAAAAATTTTTTCTCCCTCGGCTCTCCTTCTCTCAAACTATTTCTTCCCTGGTATGTCTGCTAGGTTCCAGTTGTCAACCTATTTTAGAATAAAGCAATAAGTTGATATTCTACATGAAGTATGTAAAAAATAAAAATATAATTTACTATTTATAAAGAATGCTTATTAAACTGATCTATAAGCTATTTCAATTTATCAAATAGTTCCTCCCATATTAAAGCACCACAACAGCCAGTATTAAGCAATAAGGAATCTGTGGCACAAGAACAATTTAGAAGTAATAATTTTCATTAACATCTGCAAAATACAAAAACAAAAACCAACTACAAAAATGAAAAGATTCCAAACTTTAAAACAACTACAATAATATTGATAAAAATGTGCACAGGAAAGAATGCAAACCCCTCCCCTGTTAAAAACAAAGGAAAATTTTCCTTGAGGTTGATTAACAAATAAAACATAGGAACAGAGTTTCCTGTGATCATTTGTTCTGAGTCAGCTTTCAGGTAGTAATCTCTCATCTTTGTTCTTTCTGTATCTCTCTGTCTCTCTCACTCACACACATACATACACACCTAACGCTTCACAAAATCTTAAAAGCTGATGCCATATTCAGCTGCGACACTAGAGGACCTCAGTTGCACACTATTTCAATACAGATGACTTTCTCATGAGATTGAAACCAAATCTTTAAAATGACTTTTTTATTAAACCAGTTCTGAAACAGCTGAAAACAGAAGACTACATCTTCTACTTAATCTACCTGCTTTTTAGCTGATTCTAAGATATAACTGGAAAACACCTGCATTCATGCTATTACTGAGCTGATAAGCATTTACAACTGACACAATTTTAAAGTATGAATTATAAAGCTGAAGCTCATGACACATCTTTTCTTAACTGTTACTAAAGACTATACATGAATTATGGTTAATGGAACCAGTATTCTTCAGTTTAAATCAGACAGGAAATCAGATTTGCTCTTCTGCCTGTTGTACTCTTATGATTTAATTTTTAAATTTATTTTAAAATATAAATATAAAAGAGAATAAGAAGCTGATGCTTTTTTCTATAGTGGAAATCAATGCTTGTGAAATTTTGTACACTTACTTGTTTTTAAAGTTGTATTTAACACTGCCAAGAACTTAAATTATGAAATGTTTTTAAAACTTATTTTGAAGTAGCCAGTATAATGCAACAACAAGGCAAAACATCATACATTCAATAACAATATGTTACAGTTTAATTGAAAACGGACTACAGAAGGAGAGTTAGGATAAAGAGAATGGGACTTGTACAATTTTTTAAAAAATGTAGGGGATAACAGGACTTTATTCTACACATTTTCTAATTTGAACCTTGTTAATAAAGAAATCTATCACTAACTGGAAAACATAAATTAAATCAGGTCAGAAAATATTCTCTTCCTTTTCAAATTACTAATTATTAGCTATGGGGAGACTGGGAGGGTGAACATTTACTTTGTTACCATTGTCTCTGACAATCTGAAAAGTTTTAATTAGCATAAGAATCCTTGGTTGTTATAAACACATAGATATGACTAAAGATAGCTTTAAAATAATGATTGATAATTTCTGATTAAGCAAGATGACATTTTGAGATACTTTTATTTACATTCAAATACATCAATTAAGTGGCTATTATCTGCTTGGCATTATGATTTTAGGCCTCTGCATTTTTAGGCTCCATGAACACCAAGAATAAAAACTGATCTTCCACAATCAAAAAACCCACAGTATAGTTAAAAAGACAGATTTAAAAACTGACAATTTTAACATAGTTGAATTCAACAGAATTTTGATACAGTTGGAATTCAATGATAAGTTAGGAGATGATAATTAATCATCCTTTTCCTTGGTCTTGAGAGGAAAAGAAAACAGAAAAATTTATTTATTACATTGGTTAGAACAAAATGACCTACAAAATCATAAATTTTGGGAAAGGAAGATTAAAAACTAAAAGAGAGAAAAACATGACTACCATCACCACCACTACCATCAAGAACAAATGTTGATAATTTCTAGGCATGAGTCAACTTGGGTGTATTTGGATTTTAAATATGGCTTAATGAATTTGAAATCTATTAAGTTAGTACAATACAAAGTATGTTTTGTTTATCCCTTTCCAGATGTATTTCAAAGGGAATTTATACTGTGCTCTTCTGAGACAATCTGTAAATTATCTGCAGCTGTTTAGCTTAGTTGGTTAAAATATACTGAGGCCAAGACCATGCGTTTAGAATCCATAAGGATTAGTTAGCTTCACATGTGTATAGCCACGGATTTTCATCTAACTGCAGCCAATATCCTGAAATACAGATAGTTTGTCAAGAGACATTGCTCAATGGCTACTTGCTCAAAAGTCTTGATTTTCAACTAGAATCTTCTATTTCTCTGTTCCCCATTTCTGAGGACCTGCTCTCTAATCTCATTCAGACCTTGAGGTCCCTTCTCTCTAAGCCTCCGCTGTTATCTCAACCACTCTTTTTTGGACATCTTTCTTCATTCTAGATCTATTCTGTAACTTCAACAACTTCTTTCCTTTGGCCAGGACCTTAATGGCTTATCATTCGATGGCTCTGCCCTGGCAGAACTGTACACCTCTATGCTCTGCAACTGTGCATAGCTGCAAGGCTTATTCATTCTATGGTAATAGTTTCCGTTTATGTTTGTCTCTCTCGCTGTACCTCAAGGCAGTGGTACCTGGAGTACACTGAAGCTTATTCACCTTGGAATCCCTATGCCTATCACAGTGTCTATAAGGAACGTGCTCAATAAACGTGTATCAAATAATAGGTGTTTCATAGACGTATACAGTGACATCCATGATGATGCAA